ACGGTTCAGTGGTGAACGTGGTGCTGTGTTAGTGGTTGGACTCCACCACTGTGGAGGGCTTTTCCAGCCTGAACACTTCTGTGAAAAGGAAGAACAGGGATACATTGTCCTTGTACCTAGCAGCAAAGTTAGGAACCAAATCTGTTCTGGGTTCTTGTATCCACGTGTTTCTTAAGCTTCATGGAGTAACTGCTGGAGTAGGGAAATCTTTGGCTTTGCATCCAACCTTGTTCCCAAGCCAACAGCAAAAGTACTTACACCATCACTTTACCCTGCTGGAGATCATAAGAATGATTTTATATATTAGTGTTATTTTATTTCTAGAGCAGTCTTAGGTATTGTAAAAGGGCTTGTGTCTGTACTTTAAGCCATATTCCTTCTTTTTTTCCCCCTAGTTTTTTACAGGCTGGTGGATAATCATAGATGCAGCTGTGAAATACCCTAAAGTGGAAGACTTCAACCACTCCTACCATGCCTGTGGGGTTATAGCCACCATTGCATTCCTGATGTAAGGGCCATTCCTTGATCGGAGCTACACACTCCTAGAACTTACTTTGTGCAACTAATAAAAGGCTTCAAACGAGGGGATTTATCCCATTTTCTCCCGTTTTTCTCCCTCAGGATCAACGCGGTGTCCAACGGGCAGGTGCGGGGGGACAGTTACAGCGAGGGCTGCCTGGGGCAGACAGGTACGGATCTGGGAATCCACTGAGCCTTGGAAAAACTGGGAGAGCTGTGCCAGGGTGTGCTCTGTGTGCCTGAGACAAGAGCCACGATGCCCATCCTCAGACAGACATCCCTCTTGTCTCGTTCCAGGGGCTCGGATCTGGCTGTTCATTGGGTTTATGATGGCTTTTGGATCTCTCATTGCTTCCATGTGGATCCTTTTTGGAGGCTATGTTGTTAAAGGTAAGGCCTGACCCGTTTTTGGAAGTTTAAAATATTTTAAATGGCTGTTGAATTTCAGAGCTTATTTTTATATAGTTTCTAGGCACTCCCTGTTTGAATTATTTTAGTTCCCTACACACCACTATCCCACTGTATTAACATTGGGAGGGATTTTATCTATTTCTAAGTCACAGACTTCTGACTACCCTCTAGAAACACAGGTCTTGCTCCACTGGGAACTGGACAAATATAATTAAACTGCTGCAGTTTTATGGGAATAATTCCCTGGGTGAGGACTTATTCCCAGAACAAAAATTACTGAGTTTGTGAAGATTGCTCCCAGAGCCTATATGCTAAATTAGCAAAAGGTGTCAGAAATGGGGATATGCTTGAAAATCACTTCCAAAAAAATTTACAGAGATTTTTTTTTTCTTTTGTTAGAAAAACCAGTGGTATACCCAGGAATAGCCGTGTTTTTCCAGAATGCATTCATCTTTTTTGGGTAAGCCTATCTCCCTTTGTTTGTTTCTTATCTAATTTGGTTTTTATGACAAAAACTGAAACTTGCTGTAATCTGGTTTTTCCTTAAGCCCCGTTTTGTAACCAGACCTGTGTGAATAAACTGGTGAAGGCAGCAGATCTCTGGGATCTGTCTGCACAGGTTTCACGCAGGACAAAGAAGTGGATTTGCAAATACCACTGAAATCATGTTTTTAAAACAAGAGGGGCTTGATTTGCTCCCTTGTGCGCTCATTATGTCCCTTTATTCTGTTTTAAACAGAGGACTGGTCTTCAAGTTTGGTCGCACGGAAGATTTGTGGCAGTGAACTCCCCTCTGGAAGTGCCCTGGCCAGGCTGGGTTTTAACTGCACACTCCCAAAATTTTGTAAAAAAACCATTTTGTAAACCGTGACCTTCCATTATGTCAAAAGATAAATCAAGGAAAGCTGAAAGCACGAAAAATTCCAGCTCTATTCTCTTTGATTTTTTTTTTTGTTTTTTTACTCTTGTACGTCCACTTAAATGTCGTGATGTTTTTTGACAAATGTAAAGTTGCTACAAGTAACGGTGGAGTCACTTTTCTGATACATTTGCTACAAATAAACAGGATAATGGAACATGGATGTATTTAACCAGCTGTTTCTATGACGTTATTTACGAAGAAAAACTTACTAAAATGCTTTGAAACAACTTTTTAACCTATATTTATTAAATATTTCCTATATCCGGACAATATAACCATTTCTTCAGTTTCAAAGGTAATTGGTGTGTGGCTTTTCTTGCATAATACAGAACTATGTTGGTTTGGGATTTATTTTTTTTTTTACCTCTCTCTGAATATTAAATTTATCCTATGGTGATAATGAGGAAGTTCTGGCAAGTAACAACTTCCTGTTGCTGTGGGTGACACTGGAGAGGCACAAATTAAATAGTGGCTCTAGATGGAAGTAGCTCATCCACAATGCTTGTGCTCAGCTATTTTCTAACCACTGTGAGAGAAAAGGATGGAATTCTCTCTTCAGATGGAATTCTTTCTCTGGAAAAAGGTACTCTCAGATAGGAAGAGTTCTGATCCTGTGTCTGCCCCTTCCTGTGCATTCACCCAGGCCAGTTGCTCAGGAGATCCATGGTAAGGGAGATGGAATAAAATATTAGTCACTTAAAGACAGAAAACAGGAGTTTGTGTTGCACAAGTTATGTTTGGTTGGTTCCTGGGAAGTTAAGAAAGTGAAGAACACAAGCTGGGCCTGGATCCCACTGTTACTCACGTAGTAAGTGGTGAGTTAACTGTGAGGTAACACTCTGTGTGTCCAGGCTGGTGGAAGCTGTGGGCAGCTCATTAACTCAGCAGATCACTGGCTCCTTTGTGACCTAGAAACAAAGAAAACTGGCCCTTCCTCTGCAAGTAATTTTTTCATTACGTGGAACCTGTTTCATTTCTGTAACTGTAGTGACCTGCTTTGCTCAACACCTAAAGAATGAATGAGGTCAGTGAGCATCAAAGAACAGCCTGGTCCTCAATGTCATGGGTTTCCTCATTCATTTTTAACAAGTGTGCTGAATAAACAAAACCAATCACATTTTCACTTCTTTATTGGGTAAGCATTTTGGAAAGAGTTTTTTCTGTGTCAGCTATTTTTGAGACAAAGAACAAACCCCGAGGATCACAATCCACTTATAAACAAGGGTACACTTGCAGAGAATCCTCTGTGTGATTAGGCCCCAGAGTCCCCTGCTTGTCTTGGAATAAGCCACTTCCAAAATTGGGTCTTGGCATTGGTTTCAGGCGGCTCTGAGGATTATTCCCTCAGTCCCCTCAGGTGGCAGCTGACCCTGTGGTGGTACAGGCTGTCCCTACCCAGACACTGACCTGAGGTCTGCTCTTATTTTAGATTTGGCAGCAAATACCAAATTGATTTCAGGGGCACCGTGCACAGGAAGAACAATTGAACCTCTTGCCATCTGAACTTCCAAATAGCCCGAGCCAAGTAATGACAGATTTGTCTTTAAGCAGTCAGAGAACTCAAGGAGTTCAGTCTGGCAGGATGCAGAGTTTGGCCCAGATCCAGCTCACCCATCAAATCCTTCCTTAACAAGGCCTTCAACAGAATCAATTTAGCTTAAAAACACATAGTTGAGTACTTTTCTAGATAAGAAGTGCCCCTTGAAAAATTACACTTTGAAATACATAATTTTGGCTTTTAAAATTGGGAGCTAAAAATAGTTTAAAGTTTCCAAGCATTTGGATTGATAAGCCATTACAGCCATGAATGCAGTCAACCTTTTTGTACATATCTTATTTAAGGTAAGACCAACAAAGCAGAAGAGCTAAATGCAAGTTTGCATCTGTGAATTTACACTCAGTATCTTTGGAGAATAACTAGTTTAATTTTTCGTGTTTCCATGGGGATGGCTTTTGTGGGCCTGGGAACTGGTATTTCAGTGCTCTTTCAACCCATCATAGCTACTCATTTTCTCTAGTGACAAAGAGGAAAATCTTATCTTGGTCAGCTGGGATCTTCCACTCAAAATTCAACAGCCAAATGGGGAAACTGTGAGGACAAACATTCTTGTGTCAGAACATTTTATGCACAAAATCACTGTACAAAAAACCCCAGTGGAAAACCTGATTAGAAACTTATTTTCATCCATTTCTTTGTTCTGTAATTCAGATACAGCATCTCAACGAGCACCTAAAGGTGCCCAAGGCCTGTGTTTGTGCATCAAACAAAATGTGCTGTGAAATGGAATATCCCCTTTTTTAATATGTTTAATTCAAATACCCAAAGCTCTTCATCAAGGTGCTAAATATACTCTCACACAGTCAATTTTACATTTAAACTTACCTCCCAGTAAAACTGGTCTTCGAAGTACTTTGATACAGGGATGATCTTAAGCAGTCTGGTGTTCAAGATAAAACCTATTTGTAAAAGCAGATGTATCCAATATAAATATAAACATCAGGAAAAGGGGAAGATTTTGTGTAACTGGAAGTTTCTTAGTAACATGTATCCAAATGTAACACAGATCAAAATACAAAGTCAGAACTAAATGCTTCAGCAGAGCCCCTTGACTGAAGCTGACCTTTAATACAAAGAGAGAAGCTTGCCAGGATCAAGGCTTATTGATATTAAAAATTAATTGCTTTAGGTAAAACCCAATTAAACAGCCTGCTAAACTCTAAAACTACAACAAAAATATTAACTTTTTGCATGAAAAATGTATTTAAAGCAATCTGGCTTATCAGCACTGTTAGCTTGGGGTTTCAGATGGATATATCTCGATTTTTAAACAGTTGGTTAAGCACTGAATGTTTGGTTCTTTTAGCTGAATAAAAATCTGCTCAACTTTTTAATTACACTCAAGGCAATGCAAAGGTTTTAGATCACAAAGCAATCATTTTAAGAGTGTATTTCACAGCAATTTTCATCAGCCATTTCTGTTTTGCTCAAGACAGAATTAACAGCTCTAGAAAAGCAGCAGCTGTCACAAAACAGAACATCACGTGGGAGCCACGTGAGCCCTGCTGATCCCAAACCACTCCTGATCAAAGGCCTGGTGCTGGAATGATGCAGCTCCTGACGTTGGTGAATCTCTGCACATTTACACCAACTGGCATAAGAAGTGACAAGCCCTAAATAGCATTTGCTGTCACCAAGACAATACCCAAATGTAAAAATATTTTCATCTTCACACATCTCCTGTGTGAGATGTGAAGGCAGCTGTTAAGCCTGGGTTAAAATAAACTTGAGCACTGAAAGAATGGTGCTGCTGGGTTATTGATGTGCAATACATCTCTTCTTCAAAAGGCTGGCTCTGAAGACCCCCTGGCATTCATGTTTCTGTGGCTGCTTTGCAAATAACTTACCCAGAGAAACTTGCCCTGAGGGAACACTGCAGAAATTCCTGGAACCTGTGTTTCAATACTGACCTGTGATAAAACCTGTTATCAAGGCAAGGCTGATGGTCTGGCAGAAGGCACCAATGTGAAGAAGGACCAAATAACCCAGACTGAAAAGGAAAACAAGTGTTTCACCTTTTACAGTTGCTGAATTTAGCATCAGGACTGTGAATGAATCTGTATCTAAACAGTATTTCACATCAAAACCTCTCATCAAAACTCTGTTATTCTCAAATCTCTCTGCAGCTGCAGTTGGATGTTTTAGGAGATCCTACCAGAAAACTAATGCAGACTTCGGGGGACATATTTTGTCCTTAGAAACCATCACTGTGGTACTAAAACTTCATTAAATTTGTTTCAGTAAGAACATGACTAGAAGTACAAGGCCCTCATGCTGCACTCTGATTTCTGCCTCCCCTCTCTTTGCACACAAAGCTCCCCAAAACACCACAAAGGCTAAAATGAGTCTTGAAAGGAAGCATATTCCCAGCTTTCATCTCCCATTTCTGCTGTATTTAATGTCAAATAAAAAGGGAGACAGAAAAGAGGACCCAAAACTGATACAAAAGTTTTGATCCAAAGTCTGCTCAACTCTCAAAGCCCTTTTTTACTGACCTTTTGGACTTCAGGGATTATCTTGGGTTATCTGGTATAAAACAATTTATCTGTGATGACACTCAGGCTCTCTGTAGGTATGAGAACTCTTCTCAGGGCAGCTGCAATAATGATCATTTAAGCTTATTATTTAATAACAAAAATTTAAGTACCTTGATGAATTAGTCCATTCTCTTATGACTAAGAGAACAACTTGGGCAAGACCTCCAAGCACAGCAGGCAAGCCAAAGGTGAAATGAACTCCAGAAGTATCATGAATTTTGAGAGGAGGATTCAAGCATCTCTGGGAAGAAGGAAAGATTTAATTGTTGATAACTGCATATTGTCTGTTGCAGACCTAGAGAATCTGCAGGTTCCAACCCTGCACTCTCCTCAAAGCACCTCGGGTTTCTCAGTTTTAATCTCTTTGAAAAAGAGGTTTCCCTTGAGATATCCTACATTGGAAAAGAAGTTTACACAGCTTATATGAAAAGAACTTCAGGTTTTGAATACTACCTGTAAACAGTGAGATCCTAATATGGTGATGGCACTGCCAAGCAGCCCCAAAATCATGGCAATCCAAGGATGACTGATGGTCTCTGCTGTAAAACTAATGGTGACCCCACCAGCCAGTGCTGCACTGTGGATATGAGTCTGTAAAACAAAATAAGAACATGGAGTTAAAAGACTTTTTTATTTAGTGATAAAACAAAGGGGAATGGCTTTGAATGGAAAGAGGGGAGGTTTAGATTAAATATTAGGAAGAAATCCTTCCCTGTGAGGGTGGGGAGGCCCTGGCACAGGTTGCCCAGAGAAGCTGTGGCTGCCCCTGGATCCCTGGAAGTGTCCAAGGCCAGGATGGACGGGGCTTGGAGCAACCTGGGCTAGTGGAAGGTGTCCCTGCCCATGGCAGGGGTGGAACAAGATGGGCTTTAAAGTCTCTTCCAACCCAAACCAGTCTGTTACTCTGATGACTGTCAGGCTGAAAGCCTGGACTTGTTTTTAGTTAACAGCTATTATACTATCAGTGTATTACTGAGATTAACAGAAAAATCTTCTCCATGAAGGGATTTTCTCTCGTGCCTTACCATTCTGAATTTGCCATCCTTTGAGGTCAGAGCAGACAACAGGAAGGCA